TCTATTTCAGAGCTCATGTGCCTGCAAACCTGTCTGGGTTTTTTTTCTGACTGTATCAGTTGGTCTAATAAAAGATACTGCCTCTCCTTACAAGCCTGCTCTGCACTCCTGAGCTCAGGTCCTTTATCCTTCCCTTCATGCTGCTGACAATGACTGAGGCTCCCTGGCCATACAATATCTGGGAAGTCAATGCCGTGTCAAGCCCTTGGGTTTACATCCATGGCCACAGTGAATGCACTTATTTACTGGAGAGACTCATCAGCTCTGCCTCCTGCTGCTGCAGGGAAAGCGAAATCCAGGGGGGACCCTTCCCTGGGCAGGTGGGCTGGTGCACCCATGGGGTTCTGCAGCATGGGAGGGGAATCCCAGTGGGTTTCCACCAGGCATTTCTCACCCTGGGAAGGATGAACAACTCTTCAGCCACTCGTTGTTAAGGGAAGGCCTTAGGAGGTGCCTCAGAGTCTCCAGCAGGATGGTACCCAGAGACTTTTTGTGGATTCCGTGGAGTCCAAGCTGCTGCCTAATTCTGTGGGAGCATTTTTGGTGCTCTCTGCCACAGCGTGGTGTCCTCACAATGCCAGCAATGTCACCCCGGAGGCTGCTGGCCTGGCTGTACTCTCACAGCTCACTGCAGCACTTCCACACAGTGGCACACAGAGACCTGGAGGTGTGGGAGACACAGAGGCAAGAAGATTTTCACAACGACGGTGGTGAGGCCCTGGCACAGGGTACCCAGAAAAGTGGTGGACACCCCACTCCTGGAAACATTCAAGTTGGATGGGGCTCTGAGCAACCTGCTCTAGTGGAAGGTGTCCCTGCTCATTGCAAAGTGCTTGGACTCTTTAAAGGTCCCTTCCAGCCCAAACCTTTCTATGATTCTGTAATTCCATAGCTCTGCTGAATGTGATTCTCTAGGAAGGCTGGTATAATTCAAGACATATTTTTTTCTGTCAGACATTGCACTGGCTCACTGTTGAGGACCTTCACCTCAGTGAAGAGCACTGGACCTGCCCACAGAGGCAGCAGGGCACAGGTTTCACAGCACTGGTGGCTCCCCAGGGTGACTGGCCACGCCACAGAATTGTCACCTGCAGGGAGCCTGAGCCAGGAGGGAAATCCCTACAAATATCCATCACCTTCCTCATTAACAGGGAGCCACAAATATAAACGGTGCTGCAAAAGAGCAACGAACAGCTCACCTCTGAGGAATGAGAGCTAAAGGCACAGAACACTGTGCTAAAGGAAGGGGTGGGATGTGAACAGGTTGTATCACACACACAAAAATTGTGCAGAACAAAAATTAAGTTTGGAAAGGGCTGTAAGCTTCTACCTCAGGGCATACACCAGGTCCTAATCCAGGGGGAATCTTTAGTTTTGAAGCAAATAATTCTTCAGCTCTCTCCCAAGGTGCCTTCCCAGGGAGCACCTCTTGTTGGCCAGCGTGAGCAAGCAGCTCGTGGGATGATCCAATCTGCCACATCCATCACTGCTCCCCTCTTCTGTCAGGGATGTACAGGGCAGTGACCTGCTCCATTAAATCTCTCCACGCAGGAGGATGGATCCCTGTAACTGTTTATAGCTGGAGTTGAATAAATGCCTTTTTCAGGGTTGGAGGGATGAAATTGAGCAAGAAACACTGTAAAAATGCAAAAAGAATAACCGAAGTTAAGTATCCAGTGTGTTCTGCACAGTATCTGTGAACATATCAGTGCTGCTGCCCGGATGAGCTGCTCTGTGCATATATTTTCCATATATCTCTCCCAGAAAATATTATTTGATGGCATGTGATTAAAAGGGTCTTTTTTAATATGTGGCACACGCATAACAAAATGTATGTGTGCACTTGCATGTAAAATAACTAGATATGAGGGAAAAGCAGGAATATAATAATCTCTGGCAATGCCTGGTGGGATTCTATGCACTGAGCTAATTCTGGGCATTTGGAAAAAGCATTCCTGGTGGTGGGAATCTCACCAGGTCCCGCAGAACATCTGAAAAGCCCCAGAAACCTGGAAGTCTTTCCAAAACGTGCTTCCTTCAATTAAAAAAATCAAGTTAAAATCCCCTCCCTTTCCCAGTGCCTGAAGCATGAAAAAAACCCAATAAAGTTATTTAAAGATCCATTATTTCCTAAATAAAGTTTGGATCGGGGGTATTTTCAAATTCTAGGTGCTCTTCACCTCTCACTTTTGGCAGTTGCAAGCCCGGCCGTGATTGCTGCGAGGAGGAGGAGGAGGCTGAAGGCAGAAATACAGCTCTATTTATGCTGATACTGGATCTCGGGCTACATGATCTCATCTAATTTAAAGTTACTCCAAATGAACTATCTCCAAGAATATAATTTTAATGTTTCCCTATCAGGCCATTCTTATCTCTCTGCATTACCATGATATCATTCAGGAATAATAATCGCACCATTAGTTTTGGTGTCTAAACAAGCTGGCGAGGAGAAATGGATTTCAGTCACCACCCTGCAAATTGCTGCCCTCTCCAAGAAAAAAAACCCAATCCCCAAAATGGTAAGAAGTTTATAAAATCCAACCCCGGGGGCTGTACAACTGCAACAGATGCCCTTCCAGGACAAAGCATTTAGGGGGAAAATGGAATTATTTAACTACTTAAGAATGGAAGCGTTGGAATCTCGAAGGAAATCTTTCCTGTCCTATTTTTTTTAATTTTTTTTTAATTTTTTTTAAATTTTTTTTAGCGGGGGCATTTATGGGATGTAAATGAACAAACCGGAGCCCGAAATGCCCCGAGCTGATGGAGCGTGTGTGCTGCAGCACGGCGAGGCAGCAGCCAATGAAAGCCGGGCTGCCGATTTTTTATCATTAATATTGCGAGGCTACATTAACTGATTGGAAAGACTTTTCGGGAGCAGGCAGAGCCTGCGAGCCATCGCTCCCTCCCGAACCATTTGCTACCCGGATTTTTGAGAACGAAGCCCGGCTCCTCTCGTTTTATTTTGCCGAGGGATGACGAGCGATACAATTTCTCCCCCTCCTTCGAAGAATTTGAAAAGAAACAATAAAAGCGAAGGGAGTTTTGTATTTTAACCGTCGGAGGGGAAGTACACGGTGCTGAGAGGGGCGAGGGGCAGCGGCTCCAGGCGCTTTCCCCGCGGATATTGAGAGCGGCAGCTCCTCGGGGCAGCGAGCCGGCAACTGGGGCTGCCCAGAGCGCTGTTTCCACGGAAAAAGTGGGGTAAAAAAGAAGTTTTCACGCGTGTCACCCTACCACGGCCACGGCCAAGCTCGCGGGTGCCTGTCGGGGCGAGCAGCGCTCGGGCAACCCAGCCCCGGCCCGTGGCGAGCATCCCGCCAGGCCACCGGGACCACGCGTGGCACGGAGGTCCCCAAGAACGGGCCGTGTCTCAGGCGACCCTGGGGGGGCAGCTGCGGGGAGGGGTCGCCTGTACCCACCTTTTTTTGTTTGCGGGTCCCGTATCAGCGTCTGCTGGGGGTGGGGAGGAGCTCGGGGGATCCCACCCTGGGATGGGGGCAAATTTCCCCGAGGAAGATGCGGAGCCGTGGCGGGAGGATCCCGCGCGCCGCCACCGCTCTGGGCAAGGGGGTCCTGGAGCGGGCTGGGAAATTCGCGGCGCATTTCTGGGCGCAACGAAAAAAGCCTCTGGGACGGAGCCGGCGGCAGCAGAGCCAAAGCCTCGGCAGCTGCCGGCCCCGTCCAGGTGAGCGGACTCCACATCCTTGGCCCCTTTCTTCTTCCTCCTCCTCATCTTCCTCCTCCTCCTCCTCCCCAGTTCCGCACGCACAGGGCTCTGCCGGGAAATGAAAGTCATTTATTGCGAAGAAGGAGGAAAAAAGGGGGAAGGTGGTTTATTCTATTATTATTATTAATATTATTTGGAGGAGGGAGATAGAGCCGACAGCCCCCCAGGAGAGGCGGCCCGGCACGGAGCGGCCCGCGGCGGCGGCTCCCCTCGGGCAGGAGGCGAAGTTTGGGGCGGAGAGGCGCGGGGGGACCCCGGAAGGGCCGGGCCAGCCGCCCCCCGCCCGTTCCGAGAGCCCCCCCCGACATCTCGTTTCTCTCCCCGGTCACTGTCGGACGCAGGCAGGCGGGGGTAGGGGGCGGCCCGGAGGGGCCTTTTCAGAGCAGGTTTGTTAACCAAAGCAGGTGCTAAAAACCAATAAGCCCGGAACAAACGCGGTCCCCCCCGGGAGCCGGGACAATTGTTTCCATTTAATAAATATTTTCCCCACGGGCGTTTCGCGGGAGGCAGGCAATTATTCAAAGCAAGCCGGGACGCGGGCCGGCTCCCGGGGTTAAGCGGGGCTGCGGAGCGGGGAAGGCGGGGGCTGGGGAAGCGGGAGAGCGGCCGGGAGCGCGGGGAAGGCGGGGACGGCGGGGGGAGCGGACAGCGGCGGAGCGCAGCGCTCGCAGCCCCGACGGCGGCGGAACCTGGAGGGCGCCGGGACCGGCCCCGCTCCGCACACCCCAGGGATAGGTGAGGATGAGGAAGATGGGGACGACCCCCTTCTCCTTCCCCCTTCCTCCACGGCTGCTATTAGCGCAGCAACTCACAAAAGCCTTCCTTTTAATCCGCGCGTTGGAAGGCGGCGGGAGGGGGGGGTCCTTCTGTCCCCTCCTTCCTTCCTCCTCCTCCCTCCGCTGTCCCCTCCCCTCCTCTTCCTCTCGCCCTTCCTCTCTCCCTCTCTTTTTAAGCGGGCCCCCTCCGCGCTGATTGGGCGCCCGGCCGCGCTGTGACCGCCCTGCCGCTATGTCAGCCTGCCCGCCGCAGCCCCGCGCCTTTGAACTGCCCCGCACCGCCCCGCGTCCCCACCGCCGGCCCGGTGCTGCGCCCGGCGGCTCCCCGCCCGCCTAGTGCCCGCCGGGCCCCGCGGGCTCCGCTCCGCGCCGCTCCGCGCTGCTGCGCGCCCCGCCCCGCCACGGCTCCCGCCGGGGACGGCCTTGGCGGAGGACCTGTGATGATCAGCTGAGCCCGCTCCTGCCGCTCCTCCGGCCTTCTCCCGCCGTTCTTCCTCCTCCTCCTCCTCCTCCTCCTCCTCCTCGTCCTGCCGCCGCCGTCCGGCGCCCCGAGCCGCCGCGCCCCGCAGAGCCGCCCGCCCGCCCGCCCGGCCGAAGCATGTCCAAGCCCAGCGACCACATCAAGCGCCCCATGAACGCCTTCATGGTGTGGTCCCGCGGCCAACGGCGCAAGATGGCCCAGGAGAACCCCAAAATGCACAACTCGGAGATTAGCAAGCGGCTGGGCGCGGAGTGGAAGTTGCTCTCCGAGGCGGAGAAGCGCCCGTACATCGACGAGGCCAAGCGGCTGCGGGCGCAGCACATGAAGGAGCATCCCGACTACAAGTACCGGCCCCGGCGCAAGCCCAAGAACCTGCTGAAAAAGGACAGGTATGTCTTCCCTTTGCCTTACCTCGGGGAAACAGATCCCTTAAAGGCCGCCGGGCTTCCCGTGGGGGCCACTGACTCGCTGCTGAGCTCCCCGGAGAAGGCCAGGGCTTTCCTGCCTCCCACCTCAGCACCTTACTCCTTACTTGACCCCAGCCAGTTCAGCTCCAGCGCCATTCAGAAGATGACTGAGGTTCCTCACACCTTAGCCACCAGCACCCTGCCCTACGCCTCCACCTTGGGATACCAGAACGGGGCGTTCGGCAGCTTGAGCTGCCCCAGCCAACACACCCACACTCACCCCTCGCCAACTAACCCGGGCTATGTCGTGCCATGTAACTGTACCGCTTGGTCGGCTTCCAGTTTGCAACCTCCAGTTGCCTACATATTATTCCCAGGCATGACCAAGACTGGGATAGACCCCTATTCTTCAGCACACGCGACTGCCATGTAACACCCACCCACCCACACCCCCACAGGCGTGTGTGTGTGCGTGTGCCCCCCACCCGGGCCGGCAGCTGGAACTGGGATTCCTCCGTGTGTGCATGTACATAAAACCTGCAGGAGCAAAAGGCCACCCGAACCAGGACTCTGCCGCCCGCCGCCGGGCCGGGACAGACGCGGACGCTGCCTCGGAGATGCTCTCGCCTAAAGCTCGCCACGAGAGCTGGCCCCAGGCTCGGGGGGGATCTGCAATCGCGGGGGCAGATAGGAGCCCGGCACTTGTAAGAGTTGTAAATGTGTTTAAAAGAAAAGCGAACCTTGAACTGCCCTTTCGGGACAAAGCGGGGAGAAAAAGAGGAAAAAGACAAAAAAAAAAAAAAAAAAGAGAGAGGCGGTTTCGATTTTAATTTATTCTCTTAATGTCTATGAGTTCTCCAGGGTCTCATGTCACTTGGACTTGACTTTGGGAAGTTCCGGTCTTACTCTGATTTTATTTTTTTTTCCTCGTTGTTTTCCTTTTGCACATTGAAAAACGAGATCAGCTGTGTTATATATATATAAATATATATATATTTTGCCACCACGTACTACTAGGTAAAATTGCTTTTCATGTCAGAAAAAAGGCTCTTCAAAGTTAAAAAAGAAAAAAAAAAAAAGAAAAAAAAAGACGGGGAGAAACATTTATATTTAAAACATATGATAGTGTTTGCTTAATTTAAAACAGATAGTCCTTAAATTTGTGTGATCCAGTGAGACTAGATCTAAGTTTACTTTAGACAGAGCGTCAGGTATGAAGTCAGGCAGTAGAATTGTAAAAAAAATTAATACTACTACTACTAATAACGAAAAACCGAATAAAAACCGATGGCAATTTAAATATGTTTTCACAATGTCTCGGGCAAGAAGAAACAGAAACTAAGATGTATCCGGCAGGATTTTACCTCGTTAAACCTTTTCATTTGTTGAACAAAGACGTTTTGAATAAAGACAATCTGTCATCAAACGAGGCAAGTGCGTGGTGTGAGTGCGGGGACGCAGCCCCGCGTCCCACACCGGGGGCCGGGAGCGACCCCCGCCCGCAGCCCCCGGCTCTCCCCGGGCCGGGGCTCTCTGGAACCGAGCCGTGCTGAGCCGGGCCGGGCTCCGCTCGGAGCCCGTCGGGGAAACGCGGCTGAGGGAGGAGAAAACTTGAGAAAAGCCGGGATGGAGGCGAGCGAAGCCGGGGGGATGCGGGGGGCTGCTCCCCCCCGCCCCGCCCCCCGTCCCGTCGGGGAACCGGCTTTTCCCAAGTTGCCTCCTCGGCGTTGAAGTTTTTAGCGGTGCGAGGAAATATCTGGAGCGGGGAGGGGAGCGTCGGCAGGGCTGGAAGGGGGTGGTTTGGAATAAGCGTCTTGTGCGGATCAGTTAGCGGTGTTTGGGGGTTTTTAGGGAGTCGGGGGGCAGAGACGAGGGGAAGGAGGAAGAGGCGGAGGATCCGTCTGGAGGGGCTGAATAGCCGGAGCGCTGCGTGTTTGGATGTGCTTTGCTCATTAAGTGCTCTTTGGAGACCGATGTTGGAATTAAACGGCGTAACACAATTAACATACATGGGGCTTGAATGGGAGGGTAAGCGGGGGAAGAATAGATAGATAAATAAATGAGAGATCAGGCGAAGGTAAACAAAGGGGGAGAGGAGAAAAGGGCTGAAAGGAGAGGTTAGAATGGCTGCTCCAGCCTTGTTTAGCATGACAAAACGGCTCTTACAAATGAGGACAATTAAAGGAGCTGGCTTGGGGAGGGCCTGGGAGCCGCGGGACGATCCGCTGGGACACGCGGGGCTGGATGCGGCCGGCGTGGGGCGGCGCGGCGGCGGCGGGCGCTGATGTAACCCCAGCTGACAGGCGCTGTCAGCCCGGCTGATAACACCGATAGCTCAGTGTCCTCCGACATCCACCCGCATTAGTCTGACAATGGTCGGAGGCAGAGCCGGGCGGGGGGAGCGCCGGCCCCGGGGCAGAGCGGGGGCCCCGCGCCTTGTCCCGCTCCCCTTTGGGGCTGAGCTTTGGGGGACTCCCAGCACCCCCGAGCCCAGACACCCCCGGGGCTGCTCCGGCGGCTGCGGGGCAGAACGGGCTCGGTGGGGCCGGGGCCTTGGGGAAGCAGCGGGGCGAGGTGCTGAGAGCGGAGTGACAGGGCTGGAAACTTTGGCGGGGATCTTTCCTTCCTACTTTCCTTCTTTCTTTCGCTCTCTTCTTTCTTCTTTTCCCTTTTCTTTCCCTTTTCACACCTTTCCCCCCTTTGCCTTCCTTCTTTCCTTCCTGCTTTCCTTTTTACTTTCTTTTCTTATCTTTATTTATTAATTCTATCTCCTTCTCTCTCCCTCACATTTTCCCCTTCTCTCCTTCCGTTCTCCTTCTCTTTCTCCCTCTCTCTTTCTCTTTTCCTACTTCCCTCTCTCTTTACTCTTTCTCTCTTCCTGCTTCTCAATCTCTTTTCCTCGCTGCCTCGCCGTCCCCCTCCCACCCCGCTCGCCCCTCCGCAGCCTCTGCTCGCCGTGTTTCGTTCCCGTTCCCTGCGCCGTGTTATCCCTCCAACCCTCCCGCCTGGTTGCAGGTGTGTAGCTGTTTAACTCGTGGAGATAAATAAATTAAATAATGATCTTGACACTGCAATGAACCGATTACTGACTTTGATGTCAGAGGGAAACCAAAAACAGAAAGAAAGAGGGGGAGAGAGAGAGTGGGGTGAAAAAAAGCTATTCCCTCGAGGGGGAAATGCAGCTCCTTGTCAAACCTGTTTCCCCACAACTGTCTCCTTCTTTCAATAAAACCATTAAACAAAGGCCGCGGGGTTATGCGCACCACGCCTTGGGTGCGCGGCCGGGCGCTGTCCCGGGCTGGGCTTCGCCGCGGAGCCTCGCCCGCACCCGCGGAGCCCCGCGGAGCCGAGCGGGGAGCGGAGCACCGCGGCCTCGGGCCCGCGACACTCCGGCCCGCTTCCCCCCGCGGCTCCAATTCTTTTCTTTTTCTTTTCT